AAAAAAAAAGGTACACAGCTGAGTGTGGTGGCACACGCTTGTAAGTCCCAAGTACTCTAGAGGCTGAGGCAGGAGGATCACTTGAGCCCAGATGATGATACCACTGCACTCTAGCCAGAGTGACAGGACAGGAAAAGGGAAGGGAAAGGGGAAGAAAAGGAATTAGATGATAACTATCTAATCAAGGTCACACTTGAATCGTTCCTCCCATTCTCCAGCCTAAAGATCCTTTTGGGACACCTCCCAACAGACACCTGGAGTTCTGATAGGTCAGGGTTATAAGGACAGCAGAGAAACAGAATGAAGTGGCTTGAATATCTGGAGCTTTGTGTTCCAAAGGTGTCGCCAATGATCTGGGACGGTCCTACCTGTGTAACGGTTTCCCCTTGGAAAAATTAGGCCAGCAGAGTCGATGTGCAGCTCCTCTGATCCTGACTAACCTGGGCTGCTCTGCAGCCAAATTCCAACCACCACACTGCTCCCAGAGGACACTCCATTCTCTGCCACTTTCTCAGTCTTGCATCTACACTCAAACAAGTGACCCCAATTATAAGGAAACTAAGGCCCAACAAGGGATGCGATTTTCAGGTTATTTATTTATTTTTTGTGACACAGTCTCACTCTGTTGCCTGGCTAGAGTGCCATGGCGTCAGCCTAGCTCACAGTAACCTCAAACTCCGTGGCCCAAGCGTGGCGGCTCCCGCCTGTAATCTAGGGCACTCTTTTTTTTTGAGAGTCTCGCTTTGTTGCCCAGGCTAGAGTGAGTGCTGTGGCATCAGCCTAGCTCACAGCAACCTCAAACTCCTGGGCTTAATTTAAGCAATCCTGCTACCTCAGCCTCCTGAGTAGCTGGGATTACAGGCATGTGCCACCATGCCCGGCTAATTTTTTTTCTATATATATTAGTTGCCCAATTAATTTATTTCTATTTATAGTAGAGATGGGGTCTTCACTCTTGCTCAGGCTGGTTTCGAACTCCTGACCTTGAGCAATCTGCCCGCCTCTGCCTCCCAGAGTGCTAGGATTACAGGCGTGAGCCACCGCGCCCAACCTTGTGTAACTATTTCTTAATGTCATCCTCTTTTGGCTGTAAAAGGGGTAATAAAATACCTAATCTGTTACATTATAAAAATTAAGTGAAAACTATGCCCACAAAGCATGTAGTACAGTGCTTGGCAGTGTCTATATGAAGCTAAAACTTTCTAGATAAGGGGAGGAGTACTATCATGTGAGTGTGAGGGGGGAATTATTATGTTTGCTTCAAGTGCCTAATCCAGAACTAGAATGTTTCAACAGAATGTTCAAAGGAAACTTAAATATTAACAAATGCCATATTGGTTGTTCTTATGGTTGATCAACTTTTTGGAAATATACTTGTCATTTGAGTCCAACAGAAATCCTAAGAGAGGCAGGCTGTTCTGTGCACCTGAGCTTCTCTTAAGTTCTACTTGCACTCTGCACCCTGGAAAACTCTACAAGGATCAATAACAAGGGTGGCACCAGTCCAAGGTTGGACAGGCAGTTGCTGGGCAGATATCTTCAAATAAGTGTTTTTTTGTGTACGGTTGCTATGGCCTTTGTGCAAGGTTGTGGTGTGATGGTTCTCATTATTGGGCATTTGTGCATGAGAACCCTCAATTTATGGCCTTCCCCGGCTCTATTTGTCAATATTTTTAATCCAAGTGACTCCATTTTAATTCTGACAACTTTCACACCTACCCCCAGCCTTTTATTTACGCCATTTTCTCTGCCTGTAACGTTTCCTTTCTCTTCTTCTTTTTTTTTTTTTTGAGACAGAGTCTCGCTTTGTCTAGAGTCACTCTAGTCACTCAGAGTCACTCTAGTCTCGCCCAGGCTAGAGTGAGTGCCATGGCATTAGCCTAGCTCACAGCAACCTCAAACTCCTGGGCTCAAGCAATCCTACTGCCTCAGCCTCCCGAGTAGCTGGGACTACAGGCATGCTGGCCGCCACCATGGGCCCCAGCTAATTTTTCTATATATATTAGTTGGCCTAATTTCTTTCTAGTTATAGTAGAGATAGAGTCTCACTCTTGCTCGGCTAGTTTTCAACTCCTGACCTCGAGCAATTCCGCCCGCCTCAGCCTCCCAGGAGTGCTAGGATTACAGGGCGTGAGCACCCGCGCCAGCCTTTCTCTTCTTACTGAAGTTTCGCCTATCCTGTGTTGGAGACAAGGGTTTTTTGTTTGTTTTGCCTCAGAGCCAGACCCAGGGGCCTCCGGTTACCCCAGGTTTGTGGAGTCCGTGCCGATGAATACCAGTTTGTGGAGCGCCTGTTACCCACCAGCCGATCCCCAAACCCCCAAAGCATGAACTTATCCACCTAGCGGCTGGCGGCCTCCCAGAGGGCTGAGTCTGGGTAGAGTCTGAAGGCTGCAGGGAAGATTCTCCCACCCATGGTCAGCCTGCCCTAGCTAAGGTTTTGGATTCCTCAGGTGGGGTTCGGATGACTGCATGTCAAGATACGACCCAAGGAAAGGCCCAGGATTTGGACCTGTATTCATTCTGTACCCATGCTCCACACTATGGATGGGTTGGGTCCCATATGGGGAAAAGTAAAAGGCACAGAGAGAGAAAACCCAAGAGCTTGGATCTCCCCTCTCCCCTTAGCAGACGTGTGCTTCGTATAATTGAAAGCCCAGTCTTGGCAATACAGGGCAGTACTGGGTTTTGAATTGGGCTCTGCTGTTCACTGCTTATACGATTTTTAGTTAGAGTCACTTAGCTTTTCCACCTCGGATTCACCAAAACGTTCAGCACATAAAGCCCTTGCCTGAGTGCCTAAGCCCAAATATTGGTAGGTGTTCAGCTGCTATGTAAATATACAATCCCGCTTTGTTCCAGAGATTGATTCCGCTTCCCTGACCCAGTGGAGAAGGCAAAGGATTGGCCCCATAGGGGGACCTCTTGGGGTACCAGGGCAAATAATTTGGCCTGACTCTAAACGTGAGGGGAAGAGATCCTCTGAACTGAAGTCTGAAGGTTGGTTTTGTCCAGGTGGGCTGCCCTGACCCTCTGGTAGACTCTGTGAGGGGGAAGGGCCTTGGCTGAGGCTGGGATGAGGCCTAGGAAGAGTTGGCTCATCACTCTCCCTCCTTGTCCCAGACCCACCACCCAACCTGCCTTACTTTGTGCGGCGCTCTCGGATGCATAACATCCCTGTCTACAGGGACATCACACATGGCAACCGCCTGATGACTGTCATCCGGAAGGTGGAGGGGGACATCTGGGTAAGTGGGTGGGTGGGTTAGGGTCCGGTCCTGATCCTTTGAGGGCTGTAGGGATGGGAGTCCTCTAGAAGGGAGGGACTCTTGGCCAGGCCTGATTTGTCATCTTCCTCCAGGCCCTGCAGAAAGATGTAGAAGAGTTTCTGAGGCCACTGCTGGGGAAGACACCCATCACCCAGGTCAATGAGGTGACAGGTACCCTGCGGATTAAAGGCTACTTTGACCAGCAGCTCAAAGCCTGGCTCCTGGAGAAGGGCTTCTGAGGCCCAGCTGAGCAGCCTGCATGATGGCGTTACGACAGACTGTAGTCCAAGGGACCTCAGGAGGAGGGATGTGGGTGTCGGAGCCCCTGGGACAGGGATACAGAGAGGGCTAAGGGCTTGGGCAGTGCAGAGTGTCAGGCCTTTTTTGCATAAAGGGATAAATGGGACTCTGTGCACAGGTGTCAGTGCTGGGGGAGAGCTACCTGACGCTGGAGACCAACCAGGAACACCCAAGCTAGTGGGGGATGTTGGCTGCTGTCCCTCTCCTACACTTTGGCTTCTTCCTGCATTGGGGTTCCTTGGGCTCAACTATTCAGATTCGAGGGGTTATTATCTGGTGGAAACAGTAGCCCAACCTAATTTAGGGGAGGGTAGCACAGGGTAGAGCCACTGGGCAGGTTCCTTCCTTTGCCCTTTAGGGCTCACTGCTGCAAACATCCCTGAGCCCTTGCTCTAGGCCTGACTTGGTATAGGCTATGGAGATGACAGATTTCTCAGGCATGGGTCCTGGAGGCCTTAAGTTCCAAGTGCAGTGCTGAGCATGGGGGCACAGAGTGCCCATGTCAGCCCCTGGACTCTATCTGGTGGAGAGAGGTAGGATGCCCATTCTGGGTCTCTGTTCCATTCCAGACCAGACTTGGGCCTGACAGCATTTCCAGCTCTAGCTGGTCCTACCACCAGGGAGTGCCTGGGAGCTCCTTGCAGCCCAGCACAGGGCCATCCTCCCCAGCCTGCTGACCTGGAATCAAGGGTAGCCTTTTGCCCTGCCATCACATCCCACCCAGCTAGCCTTCACATTTGCCCCATCCTTGGAGTCACAGGCTAAAGGCCTGAGGCCCTACCCCATGGCAGCATCAAACTGGCTAAGACAGCTTTCACATTCTGGCTCTCCTACTTGGTATCTTACCTGAGGCATCATATTGAACTTATCTGGGGCTCAATTTTTCCATATGTAAAATGGGCACATCTTCCCAATCGGTTCATGGTCAACAGGGTCCCAAGGATAGTGCTGGCTTATGTGAAACCCTCACTCCTGGAAATTATAGGCTCAAGTCTACAGCCTCAGCAAGGAAATGGAGCCCGACACACTGATGCTATGACACAAGCCCCACCAGTCGTTAATGCAAGTTTTTATTTGGCCGTATATACAATTTAAGCTATTAAAATTTGTACAATATTTACAAATTAAATAATCATCTGAAACTGTCTCCAGCAACTCTTGTAACACAAAACCGAGGGGGAAAATACCAGGGCAGGCAGGCCTTGGCTCTTGTGGTCCCTCCCTGGCCCACAGCCTTTTCTAAACTGGAAAGACCAGGAGCCCAGCACTCCTGCTTCTCTTTCTGGAGTTTAAGCATTCAAATTCAAAAGACAAAATTTAAGCCAAAAAGACACACGACCAAAGAATTCCAATTCTAAACTCAAGAAAAGTTCTGCAAGTTGAGAAGTGGCCTTTCTTGGGTTCTGGGTCCGCAGTGGTTAGGGAGCAGGCACACTAGCCTTCAGCCTGGAGCGCGGCTGTGCAGTGGCTGCTGGGTGAGATGGGTCAGTCTCACCTGAGAAGCTGCAGGGGAAAGGGGCCTGGGGGAGGGGAGGGGCAGGGTCCCTCAGTGCCGCCCGCCTGCCCCCCCACCCCCAGGCACTCCTTTCCCTGAGTTGTGTGGTTGCCAGTAAGACATGGAAATGCCACAGGGCACAGGGGGGCACAGCCACCACCACAAAGGGCTTCTGGGGAGATTAGGGTAAGAAAAGGAAATCTGTACCAGTCTTGGTGGGTGGGCTGGGGAGCAAGTTCCTGGCCTGCCTCCAGGCCCTCTAGAGCCCACACTTGGGAATGGGAGCTAATACTGTTCGGCACTGCAGCGTGACTCCGCACACACAAGCAGGGCCAGGAGGGGCTGCCCCTTCTCCCAGAAAGGAATGGGGGAAGACGGCTTCCCAGAGGCTGAACTTTCTGCCTTCATGGCCCCAGCTGGACACCGGGCTAAGGAGTTGGAGAGAAAGGCTGGAACTACCTCCCCCCAAAAGCCCCACGGCTGCCAGGGATTCTAAGGGCTGGAGTCAACTGGGAACTCAGGCCTCTCTGCACTTGGCCTAGGGGATGCTGCCTCCTCTTCCTCAGAGCCGGGGGGTCACTACTCCCTGGTGCAAATAGAGGGAGCTGGCACTTGGTGGCAGGACGTGTTCTAGGGCTGCTCAAGAGAGCAAGGGCAGGGGCCAGGGCCGGGGCAGTGTCAGTGGGCAACAGGGGACTCCAACTTCTGCAGGCGGCGGCGACGCAGCTCTGCAGCATCGGGCTCTCCGTCCTCGGGCAGCTCCTCGGTGCCCACTGACTCAGGAGCTGGGGACAGAGAGGTCAGAAGTGGGACCCAGGGAAGTCCCCTGCCCCACCCCTGGGGCCTAATTACACTTACCTGGAGGCTTTTCAGTTTCAGGGGCTGGTGGGGAGGCTCCTGGGGATGGGGTGGTGGCCTCAGAGCTGGGGATGCTGGTGGAGGAGGCAGCAGCGACAACTGGGGGGGCAGTCTCCTCAGTGGGGTTGACTGAAGTGGCAGGCCGAGGGGGCCTGGAAAGAGAAGGGAGGAGAGGTGGGCCTGGCTTGGGCAGATTCTCCTGCCCTTGGTGAACCTTGCAGGACAGAGTCTAGCATGATGTGCCTCTGCAGCCCCAGTGACCAGCAGACACAAGTGAACACGTGTTGAATGGAACCCTCAAGGGCCAAGTAATTCTGTCCCCTAGATTGTGAACCACTTGTAGGCATGGACTGTTGACCTGTTCACTTTTACCCTGGAGTGTCAGGCACCTTATAGGGTACACACCAAATAAGTCCCAGAGCACTCAAGCCTTGGACTCCAGTTCCTCTCCAAGCCTGTGCTGTCATTACTGGGTGCCAGGCACTGGGTACTTGTCACTTAAGAAGAGCACTTAAGGGGAAGGTTTGGAGTGGGGATTATGATACGAAACCTGTTGGGTACAGTGTACACTGTTCAGGTGATAGGTATATTAAAAGCTTAGACTTCTCCACTATGCAATTCAGCTATGTAACAAAAATCACTTGTACCCCCTAAATCTACTTAAATAAAAAATGAAAAAAAAAATAGCTCTTAAAACCCCTCTATTCTGACGAAGTAATGGAGCTCACAAAGCAAGTGAGCGATGAAACCAGCTCCTGGACTTGAGCCAGGATAGCTCCAAGTGACTTCCTTTTATTTGCTCCCTCAGTTCATGGGCAGCAATTCCCAGTCACAGTGTCACCATACCCGAGGGTGTTATGTGTTGAACTAATAAAGCACTGCAGATTCTGAATAATTTGCCTTCGGAAAAATACAGAGGCACAAGATTCAAGGTCAGCTCTCTAAAATACATCGCTCCTACTTAGATCCAGACATGTCTTGTGGAGTGGGAGGATAAAAAGGTACCAGGAGTCAAGAACTCCCTGAATCCCTGCCCTAGGCTGGCCTGAAGATAGGTGGCCTGAATCAGCAGGTGTCAGGGTGGCAGGAGAGCCAAAGGCCGAGAACCGTTGCTGGGAACCTCTTGGCAGCTCTGCTCCTTCACAAACCCATCCCATGTCCCCCACGAAGACGCACCCCAAGGAGGCCAGCACAGTGAGGTACTGGTTGATCTGCAGCATGGCGGCATCCAGCAGCGTGTGGATGTTGCGCAGGCTCTGCAGCCGGGCCTCCAGGTGCTGCCGCTCGTGGCCTTCCAGAGCTCGCAGCTCCTCCGGGGTCAGCCCAGCAAAACCCGCGGGGGGCACAGGCATTGGAGGGAAGGCTGGAGAGAGGTAGAGGCTCAGTCTGGGCTTCCTGGGCCTGATACCACCCCAGCCTCCAGAACCACCTGGGGAGGAGCCTAGCTTACCGAAGGGTGGAGGCAGGGGCATACCCATCCAGGGAGGTGGGAAGGGGAAGCCTGGGGCAGGGCCGGCCTCTGCCGCAGTGCCAGAGCCAGGTGCTGGGGCAGAGGCAGCACTGGTGCCAGCAGCTGTGGTTGTGGCTGCTCCACTGGGCCGAGAAAGGGCCGCTGAAGCAAGAACAAGACGTGACTGTTGCTGGGCCTCATTCCATCCCTGCCACCCCCCCCCCAGCTGTCACAGCACCCAAAAGGCTCACCTGCACTAGTGGATGGAGGGGCCACAGCCTCTCCTGAGCTGGGGGGAGGTGGGACAGGTGGAAAGGGGCCCATGGGAGGCCACAGCGGGAACATGCCTGGAGGAAAAGGAGGCAGGAGGCCCTGGGGGACTGCAGAGAAAGGACAGAGTGATGAGAAAAGGGCCAAACTAAGATAGACCCAACTCCCAAGCAGCAGGCTTGGCTACCGAGAGCTCTGTCCTCTACCCATGGGCCCCTGCACTTAGCACTTGTCACACGGATAGCAAGCATCTATTTCTTATCTTTTCACCCCTCCCCAGCTCTGACTGTGATGCTGGAGGACAGGGACTTTGATTCCCCAGCATCTCCCATACCCAGACCAGGGCAAGTACCCAATGGTGTACTGAATGGATAAATGAGGGGACACTCACAGTTAGGGGGCTGGGGCAGAAGTGGGGGAGCATGGGGGGCAGGGGGTGGCCCCTGATCCGCAGGCTCTGGGGGCGGTGGTGACTGGGCTGGTAACGATGCCCGCAGGACATCCATACGGCAGGTAGGGCAGGTCTGCTGCCGCTGGAACCAGGAGCGCAGGCAGCTGGGGGTCAAGACCAGGCAGTGGTCAGCAGGTCTGTAGGGGCCTGCCTACGGGGCCTGTGCCCTGATGTGCAGGCTCTCGGGGGCCTCTCCCACCTGGTATGGAAAATGTGGTTGCAGGGCAGTCTCTTGGCACCAGTCACCATCTCTTCTCGGCAGATGATGCAGACATTGTCCATTGCCTGGAGTTCCTCTGGGGTGGCATCTGGATACCTGGTTAGGATGCAGGGATGTTTGAGATCCAGAGCTGGAAGCAGGGGTATCTGGGGCAGAGCTTGGGAGAGGAGCCAAGAGAAGCCTACTTACAGTGTGTTCATGTTGCGGATGGCTCGGCGAGACATGATGGCATCTGTCACAGCTTTCTTGAACTGTCTGAAAGGACGGTCAGTGAAAACAGGAAGAGGGAGGGGAGGGGTCAGGTCAGGAGGGTGGAGGGACAGGGCTAGGCTCACCTCATGGCCAGATACATGGGCCGGATGGCAAAGAGTGGGAAGGTGTGCACCTTGATCATGATGGTCATGAAGGCCATGTACAGCAGAACCTTGATGAAGCCTAGGAGAGGGTTGCAACAGGGCAGTGGGTCACTGGGTCTGGCAGGCAGAGTGGGGGACACTGGTCCAGGTCAGAAGCAGCCCAGGCTCCTCTCACCTGTAAAGAGCTCTGTGTAGAGCATGTACACGGCCTTGTTGTCCCAGGGGTTCTCGCTCTGAAGGTCCACAGAGTGCAGCACATACTTGATGAAGATGGTGAGCACCATCGTCATCAGGATGGCGTACTGAAGAAAGAGGGGGATGTGGGGACATAAACACACAGCTCCTCTTGCTGCAGCCACACTCTGATCCACTCAGGCCTGTGTACAGCAGGGTGCAGTGGTACAAGCACAGGGTCTGGGCACAGCCAGGGTCCTCCTAGTTCCCCCATTCACTTGCTGTGACTTTATTGGCAACTCACTGAATCTGTTTGCACATCTGTACGTGACAGAATTGACCCTTTATAACAGCGTTGTCTTGCTGATTAAGAGATGTGGGTCAGGAGCTCAACACCGGGCCTGGCATGCAGTAAGTGCTCAACAAATATGAGCTATTGGCCAGACGCGGTGGCTCATTCCTGTAATCCTAGGACCCTGGGAGGCTGAGGCAGGAGGATCACTTGAGCCCAGGAGTTCGAGACCAACCTAAACAAGAGCAAGACCCTGTCTCTAGCAAAATATAGAAAAATTAACCAGTTGTGGTGGCATGTGCCTGTAGTCCCAGCTACTTGGGAGGCTGAGACAGGAGGATTGCTTAAGCCCAGGAGTATGAGGTTGCAGTGAGCTATGAGGAGGCCACTGCACTCCAGCCTGGGAAAACAGAGCAAGACCTTATCTCAAAAAAAAACCCCAAAAAAACAAAAAAACAAACCCTGGCCGTTGTCACTGAACACATTCTTCCTCTGCCAGGGACTTGCCTCCCCCGTTTTCCATCAAGCTAATTCCTTCCTGTCCATCAACAGCCAGCTCTGGCATCAGCCTCCAGAAAGCCTTCCCTGAGCCCCAAGGTGGGGATCCTCCTCCCAGCCTCTTTTTATACTTTTCCCTGATTGCCTAGGGGTACACATGTCAGGGCAGGGGCCAGATCTGACTGATCAATGCTCTATGATGGCAGCCTGGGGCTGGCTACATAGCAGGTGCTCAGGCACGTGCAGTGCCACCGCAGGCTTGTACCCCCAATCTCCCAAGCCAGTTTTACCTCAAAGCCAAACACCAGCTGCACAGAAGCCCCACGAGTCAGGATGCTGTGATAGGCGTGGCTGACGAAGAGGAAGTCCAGGATACCCAGAAGGAACATAAGGGCTGTGGGGACCCCCGAAATGGGGGTGGGTGGGGTCAGCCCAGGGCTTGACAGCCACTTCCTGCACTAGGACAGCCCCACCCCCAAGCCCACCATGGCCCCAGCCAACCCGTCAGGTGGGCACACTCCACTAAACCCCGGCCCTCTGGGAAATCCCATTTTGCCTTGAGGGGGGGGGGGTCACTGGGGCTGCCCAAGCTCCAGGTGAGGAGGCAGAGCTACATGCCCTGGCAGCTGAGAAGCCCTGGGGTGGAACAGGACAGAGACGATGCAAATTAACTTCCTAAATTATCTTTCCTGTACAGCTGTGGGCTGAGGGCGCAGCCTGTGCTCTGGGGCGCGGGTCCATGCCTAGTGACTGTTCGTGGTCCAGTCCTCCATGGCGCCTCTCCCCTTCGGCCCCCTCCCGCCATGAGTCTCACTCACAGACAATGCGGCAGTGAAAGAGCCAGGAGATGTTGGGGCTGCGCTCCATCTGAGGCAGAGCAGAGAGGGGGCCTGTCAGGAAGGCTGGGACTCACCCCACAATCCCAACCCAGGCTGCACTGCCCCTTAAGCCTGCTCCAGGGAACCCCCTGACCCGACTCACAAAGTCCACACGGTCCTCCGCAAGCCAGTGGAAACATTTGAGGAAGAGAAGGAGCGTGAAGAGCGCAACGAAGCGCGGGCTGAAGTCGTCCCGGAAAACAGTGAAGGCCAGACAAGTTTCAGTGACAGCATACCAGGAACGTTCCAGGAGGTGCTGGGGTTAGGCAGGGAAAAACATGGAACCAAGACATGATGCTTGCCCCGTGCCCTGCCCCTCACCTTTGGGGTGGCCAACCTCTTACCTCCATCTCTGCTGCCCTCAGCTGCCCAAAGAACACCTTGCCCATCACTTTGCCCAGGAGGAAGACAAGGACAAAGGCCTGGATGTACAGGACCTAGGAGCAGGGAAAGGCTATGGTTTGAAGTCACTTTCTGCTTTCCTCTGCCTGGGACTCATCATTCAGGAACCTCCTATGCCCATCACAGTTTATTTAAAGTTAGACAGCTGGTGTCTACTTCTCTTCTCCCCTCCTTACCTGACCTGTAGCCCCGCCCCTGCCCCAGGCAGACTCCTCCTTCCCTCACAGGGAGTTCCTCCCTCCCGGAGTTCTGAACTCACAGCCATGCTGGGGCTGGACTTGGTCAAGTACACCACAGTGGGGTAGAACTGGTGTTTGAGGTAGTAGGCATGAGCCACCACGGCCCCTGTCAGCGCCAGGCTGGCCGCCATCATCACTGCGGTGCGGAACATTGCCCTGGCCCGGAGACCTGCATGGGAAAAGAAAACAAAAGAATTTATGTGATGCTCATGCTATGCAAACCCAGCACAGTGCCTGGCACAGCGTCAATAAATAGGAGAAAGGGGGAAATTGCATTTCACCCTCACAATCATCAAATCAAGAATAGTACATGCTTCCCCACTTTACAAATAAAACAGACTCAAAGGGGTTAAGTGATCACACGAACGAAAGGCCTGGAACCTAGGTTAGTTTTCTTTCAAATCTAGGGCTCTTTCCACGCTGTCTACCAAACCGCCTCCTCTAGGGAGGCAATGAGGAAAGGCAGCAATGTCGGAGGAGGGAAGCACTGCCACCACTGACCCTCTAGTGAAGGTGCTGGGATGGGAGGCCAAAGCAGAAATCTGCTCCAGGGGCGGGAACGCGGCCTGGGCAGGGAGAAGCTAAGGCGCAGGGGGCCGCAGCCTGGGTAGGCTACAGTGCCGGTGACAGCTGTGCCAGGGTGGGTAGCTCGGACGCGCGCCCCACGGGAGCGAGCTAGGTACGTCAGCCTGGAACCCTGGCGCCCCCCAACCCCCAGGACAGTGTCAAGTCAGGGCCCTCGAGAAACGGCCGACCGGCAGGGTGCAGTGGCGGGACAGAGTGGGACCGGGCTGCCTTCACTGCCGCACACCTGTGAGCACCAGGAGTTGCGAGCGTCGCAGGCGGGGCCCAGCCTTTGGGAGAGCGGCCGCCCGGGCGCTCCAAGTCTGCCACCAGCTGACAGGCCGAAAGCGGGCGTCGGGGCTGAGGGGGCGCGCAGATCCCGGAGACCTCTAGGGGAAAGACCGGGTCCGCACCCCAACCACAACCCGGGCTAGACTTCGTCACACTCACCAGGACACCAGCGCCGCGAGCCCGCTCAATCCCCGCGACTGCGGCGGCCGCTCGGGCTAACAGCACTCCCCACCCCCTGCGAACCGGAACTTCAGGGGTAAGACACCTCACTTCCGGCGGCGCGGGGCGCGGCGTGGGTCATACCAAAGGGCGCCCCCCCCGCCCCAGCTTGCAGTGTCCCCTGCGGTGCCGGAAGTGGCTGTTTTTGTAGCAAATCTGGGCTTCGTGCCCACGGGGACGGGCTGAGCTAGAGACACGAGATGGTCGGAACGGAGTAAGCAGGGCGGGGGGAGTCGAGCCCCCTGTTTGTTTGTCGCAGATGGTATGGCCTGGACCGCTGGGTGGCCTCAACCTACTCGTGGGGGACGCTGGTAGCAAAGCGGCTGGAAGGTGGCGCGTGAATGCGCCGTACCCCTTGGAGGGGGAATGTGCAAAGGACAGACTTCACAGGCAAGGGGAATAAAATGTTTTAGATGCTCATTCCAGGCAGAGTCGCAACAGTTTGGCAGGTGTTCTCTGGGAGAACTGCATGCAGAAAACAAAAATTTGTCTTATGGGTGATTCCTCCCGGTGCTGAGTGGGAGTGAATTGGGTCCCGTGTCTGTCACTGATTGGTTGCAATAAAGTTACGCGGACCAATGAGGAAAAGAAAGGGAATTTGCTAGCCTATAGAAAGAAAAGAGCAGGTGAGTGGTTGCTAGGGGCGGAAGGCTGCGTTGCCTAGGACTGGGTCCTACCCCAGCTGGCTGATAGTAGTGAAAGTGCAGTCCGTGGGCAGGTGACCCTTGTCTGGCCTCGGGGGGGAACATTTGCCGCGCCGCGAAAGGGAGGGGGAGCCAGGTGTGCCCAGCACCGAGGAAAAGACAGACCTTTAATTTCTGCTCATCTTGGGACGAGAGTGTTGTGTGCAAAGGAATTGACTTCAGCGCCGCATGCCCGCACCCCTCTCCGTGCCTACAGTTTTGCTGGCGTTGTATTGTTTAGCCTGGGCCATCGCCAAACCCCCATGGTCTTGGGCTGCCCTGTAATTCAGTTCGTGTCTGAGTCTCAGCCATCTGGGCCCGCTCATTGAGAGAATGTGCCTGGCGTTTTCCTCCGTCATCTCGTGTAACAACCATCAGTCACCACGTTTGTGAGCTAGGTGGTGCTGTCCCCATTTTAAACGTGGAACCTGTGAGATTCAGAAGCTTAACCAGACCTCTGCTAGGATTGGCGCCGGGTCTGCCTCTAAATCCCTGGACTATTGGTCTCAGCCACCTTCCCCACCACCTGTTGAGCTGGCAAATCCAGCTCGTAACGAGTTACTGAGTTGCCCTCCACCCCCATAAGGCCATCTATGACTTTCTAGTGACTACATCCAATGGTCAGCTTTCAGTCCTTGCCTGACTCAAACTCTCTACCCTCCTTGAAATTCTCCTCCCTAAGCGTCTGTGACCCACATGACCCTACTTTTCTTTTTTCTCTCTGGCTATGCATCTGGCCCCTTCCTCTGCCCACCCCTTTATTTAAATGTTGGTGTCCACATTGGCCCCTTCTCTTTACTTCTCTTGTATGATTTCCTCCGCTTCTGTGGATTCAACCCTCGCACCTAGAGCCTGATGACTCCCAGCTGGGTCTCTTGTGCTTTTAAAACAGTTCGGTGTGCCTAACGCCATCCACACCCCAGCTCCAAAAACCTGGGCATCATGTTCACTGTGTTCCTCTCCATTTGCCCCCACATCCAAACTGGTAGTTAAGTCATTTGTTCAGTTGATTAGTCTACAAATATGTATCAGCTGTCTGATCCCCCAACCCCAACCCTGTTCTAGGGATTTGTGATGTCAGTGAACAAAACAAAAATCTCTGCTTTTGGAGAGGTTATCCTAGTAGATGTGATAAGCCACCAAACCATAGACATAATGTGAGTGAAAAATCTATGTTGGAAGGTATTAAGTGCCACAGGGGAAAAAGTAGAGCAGAATGAAGGGGATCAGGAGTGTGGTGGAGTGTTCAAAGCAGGTTGCAGTTTCAGCAAGGATAATGGAGTAAGCCTCCTTGAGAAGGTGACATTTGAGCAAAAACTTGAAGGAGGTAATGGCATGAACCAAGTGGATGTCTGGGTAAAGAGTTGCAGCTAAGTAAAGGTGGACTGGCCCTGGTGTGTTGAAGGAGGGCAGTGTGGCTAGAGTGGAACTAGTAGTAGGAGACGGGGCCAAGGCCAGATTGTGTTGGGCATTACTGGAACTCTGGGTTTTATCCTGAGTGACATGAGGAGCCACTGCACAGTGCTGAATAGAGGTGTAGTATGCTCTAGCTCCAGTGTTGGAATAGTCTGTGATAGGATGGAGGGCAAACAGGGGAGCAGGGAAACCAGTTAGGAGGCTCTTGCAGTGTGTTAGGCAAGAGAGGAAGTCTTGTTAACTCTACCTCCTGAGTGTCTCTAGAATTCATTCCTTCCCTGCCATCTCCACTACCGCTGTGTTGTAGTCCAGACCATCATCATCTCATGCCTGGGCAAATCCCAGAAATTTGGGAGGCCAAGGCAGAAGATTGCTTAAGTTTGAGACCAGCCGCCTGGCAACATAGTGAGACCCTATCTCTACAAAAAATATTTTAAATCAGCCGGGCATGATGGTGCATACCTGTAACCCTATCAATTTGGGAGGCTGATGCAGGAGGATAGCTTGAGCCCAGCAATTTGAGGCTGTAGCAAGTTATGATTATGCCACTGCACTCCAGCCTGGGCAACAGAGTGAGACACTGTCTCTAAAAAGTAAATTTAAAAAACCCCAGCAAATCAAACCTAAAGTAAACAAAATAAAGGAAGTAATGAATTCCAAAGAAGAAATCACTAAAATAGAAACACAATAGAGAAATCAATGAAAGTAAAAGTAGGTTCTTTGAGAGGATCAATAAAATTGATAACCCCCTTGGCCAGGTGTGGTGACTCATGCCTGGAATCCCAACATTTTTGGAGGCTGAGGCAAAAGAGTCACTTGAGACTGAGAGTTCAGAATTGCAGTGAGCTGTGATTGATCCATTGTACTCAAGCTAGGTGAGAGAGTGAGACCCTGTGTCTAAAAAATAAAAATAAAAATACCTATCATACGAAGTGGTGGTGATGGTATGAAGCAACTAGAATTCTCATATATTGCTTGTGAGAATGGAAAATGGTATAACCATGTTAAAGAAAAGTTTGGTAGTTTCTTATACAGTTCAACATACATTTACTATATGACCCAGCAGTTACATTCTTAAGTTACCCAAGAGAAATGAAAATATATGTTTATATGACTAGTGATAGCTTCTCAAATGGTTGCCAGGAACAGGGGCTGGGGGGAGGGAATGAATTGCATAGTGGCACAAGCAAACTTTTTTGGGTAGTGAGAATGAACATTGTATAGCACTGTAGCATTGGTAATTATGTGACTTATACGTATTTTTTAAAGCATATAGAATTGTATACTTAAAATTGGTAAATCTTTATGTCGTTGCTAATTATAACTCAATTAAGTTGACACAAAAATTGTTGTAAGTAATTTCACATTTTGACCTAGAATTTCCCCTTTCAGGAAGCTATGCTGTTTAAGAGCTTGTACATGAGCCCAAAGATGTAACCTCAACGATAATATCTATGGAATTGTTTGAAATAGTAAAACAAAATCATAGAACCACATATCCATTAGGAAGAGAATGGTTAGATCCAACTGATCCAATAATAATCTTTTTAAAAAGCAGACTTAAAAGAATATCAGACCCTTCCATAATAAAAAGTAACCAAAACTAGGAATAGATGAGAACTTCCTCAACCTGGTAAATGGCATCTGTGAAGAATCCATAGCTAACGTCATATTTAATGATGATGATTCAATTGTTTTCTCTCTCTAAGATCAGCTACAAGAAAAGAAAGGTCCACTCTTGCCACTTCATTTTAACACTGTACTGGAGGTTCTAGCCAGGAGAGTTAGGCAAGGAAAAGACATAAAAGGCATCCAATTAGAAAGGAAGAAGTAAAACTATGTCTCTTTGCAGATAACTGGATCTTGTTATAGAAAATCCTAAGGAATCTATGTCCCCCCTCCCCAAAAAACTATTACAACTAATAAGTGAGTTTCAGTGAGGTTTCAGAATGAAAGATCAATACACAAAAATAAATTGTGTTTTTATAAACTAGCAGTAAGCAATCCAAAAAATGAAACCAAACAAGCAATTCCATTTACAATTCATCAGAAAGAATAAAATGCTTAGGAATAAATTTAACAAAAAAGTATTAGACTTGTGCACAGAACACTACTAAACATCGTTGAAAGAAATTAAAGAAGACCTAAATAAATGGAAAGACATCTCTTGTTTATGGATTTGAAAAACTTATTAAGATGGCACTACTCCCCAAATTGACCTAAAAATTTGACACAATCTCTACAAAATATTCCACCTGCTTTTATTGCTAAAATTGGCAAGGTGATCCTAAATTTCATGTGTAAATGCAAGAGACCAGAATAGACAAAATAATCAGAAAGGGGAAATGAAGGACTCACACTCCCTGATTTTAAAACTTACTATTAATAGAAAGCTACAGTAATCAAGATGACATGGCACCAGCATTAAGATAGACAAATCAATGGAATAGAACTGAGAATCCAGAAATAAACATTTATGGTCAATTGATTTGGATTTATTTGTTTAGTTTTACTTTCTTTTTGTGTGTGTGTGTGTGTGTGTGTGAGGGGGGATGTTCAGTTGCCTTGTTTTCTTTTTGTTTTTATTGAAACAGAGTATCACTCTGTGGCCCTGGGTAGAGTGCAGTGGCATCACTGTAGCTCACTGCAACCTCCAAGCTATCCTCCTTCCTCAGCCTCCTGGGTAGCTGGGACTATAGGCATGAGCCACAATGCCTGGCTGGGTTTTCTTTCTTTCTTTTCTTCCCTTCGTCCCTTCTTCCTTCCTTCCCTCCTTCCTTTCTTCCCTTCGTCCTTGCTTCCTTCCTTCCCCTCTTCCCTTCTTCCTTCCTTCCTTCCTCCTTTTCTTTTTCTTGGAGACAAGAGTCTCACTCTCTTGCCTGGGCTAGAGTGCCGTGGCATCAGCCTAGCTCACAGCAACCTCAAACTCCTGGGCTCAAGTGATTCTCCTG